CTTACTAGGATCGTTGGGTTTAAGGAGCGGTATTGTGTCCGTGATTAAATGGCCTGCGCTGGCACGCAAACGACACAACTCTTGCCACATTGAATTCGCCGTTGAATCTCTTGAATCTGACTTTCCAAACGAACTTGAAGCTGTACCTCGTGCGTCTGCCGCGTGAGCGCCTCTTCCCTCATACATCCTCTTGACAGCCGGGTCGCGGAATATTGTGATGGAATTGTCGATTTTTGGACAGTTCTCTGAAGCCGAAAGTTGCAGCTGATGTGGATTTTGATGCAACCTATGACAAGATGCGTTGAAAGCACCAGTCGGCATCTCAGCAACTATGTCGGATCCGTCGAGCATGCAAAGCTCGCGATACGAGAGTGGATCGGTTAACAAGACGATGGGTGGAATGCCCATGTCGGTGAGACGTTCAACGGCGGAGGGACGAATGTCGAGGAGGCAGTGATGCTGGCGGTGCATACACGCCTGGGAGAGAGAGAGTGATGAATTGACGAGAGTCCAGATGATGGGGTAAAAAGTGTGAAACCGAATGTGCACAGGTAATGGCAAAAAATTACTATGGCACTTGTATTGGTTTAATCCACTCTCTAAAAGAGGGGAAATTAACTACAAGAATGCTTTGAAAAAATATTGAAATTCGGTTTTTTCTGCTTTAGAGTAGCGTGAAGCCATAAAACACAGAAAGACAAATTTTCTCCAAATGTTATGAATAGGCCTATCGATACTATTGAAATTCACTTATCCTTGCCCCACAAACGGTACTCCCATTCGGGCTGGACTGGACGGCAGTCTCGACATCAAGTGAATCTCATCGGCATCTCTAACAGGAATAGAACCTGGCTGGTACAAAGAATAATTGTGTTACGTCATCGCTACTTCATACCTCCACAGGCGTCATTGGGCCAGAGGAAGGAGGAGAATTTTAACGCAATTCTGGTCTCTTTGAAGAGATGAAAAAAATATGGGTTTTGTGGCATGACCTTTCATTTTAGTAGGAACAGTAGATTTGAAGCAATTTGTGAATTGGTCTCGTTATATACTAAAGAAGGATCGCCGCGGAGGGATGTGAAGATTGATGAATTGTAATGACTTGCATTATTCTCTTGGCCTATTTTATTTGGCGCATTTTTTTGTATAAGATGCATTCTCTGTCGGTCTATAAAATGACAGACATTTGCTCACGACAGATTCATCGGTGTCACAGGAGGTTGAGACGAGGACCTTTTCACACAATCCAGTGGACTTCACTCCACTCTGCGGTGATCCTTCTTCAGTTTTTGGTGAGACCAATTCATGAATTGCTTCCAACCAACTGTCCCAATGAAATGAAGGGTCATTCTACAATAAATCACTTATGAATTCTTCGAAAACTAATTTGTCTTCATATCCTCGAAGAGACTTGAATTGCCCTAAAATTCTTGTACCTCCTCTGGCCCCTTGCCACCCGTGTAAAAATTATTATTTGTACCATCCAAGCTCGATTCCTATTAGCGATGCTGACGGGACTCAGTTGAAGTTGAAACCGCCAAGAAAATAAGGCAAGTCATTACAATTCATCAATCTTGACATCCCTCCGCGGCGATCCTTCTTCAGTATATGGTGAGACCAATTCACAAAATGCTTAAAATCTACTGTTTCTTGTAAAATGGAAGGTCATGCCACAAAACCAAAATTTTTTTCATCTCTGCAAAGACACCATAATTGCGTTAAAATTCTCCTCCTTCCTCTGCCCCCCTGGCGCCTGTGGCAGTATGAAGTAGCGATGACGTAACAAAATTATTCTTTGTACCAGCCAGGTTCTTTTCCTGTTGGGGATGCCGATGAGACTCACTTGATGTCAAGACTGCCGTCCAGTCCAGCCCGAATGGGAGTACCATTTGTGGGGCAAGGATAAGTGAAATTCAATAGCATCGTCAGGCCTATTCATAGTATTCATAGTATTCATATGTAGCATAGCTACCTGTGACAAAAAAACGAAATGTCAAAATTTGGCAAGAGGAAAACCACCATGATGCACAGGATACTCGGTAAACTGAATTTTAGGCATCGTCTGACAACATCCTGCCCAAA